CCAGCCCTCCTGAGGTGCTGTTTGCTCCCTATTGACCGAGAACAATCTTTGCTCTCCCCTGAGCAAAGCGACTACCGTTTCGCCTAGCCCAGCACAGGCTAGACAATGTGGCCAATGCTTGCAATTTGAGCGCGCCTCGAGAGATTTGTTCCTTTCCACAAAGTCCCTGCTTCTGGAGTCTTGTGATTGAGGCTCCTAGTGAAGCACCTTTTAGTTATGGAGGAAAATTTGGAAAGGTGAACCCCAAAGGATGAAAACCCAGCAGGAAGATAAAAAGAACACCACATGTATTTTTTTAAACATCTTACGAGTTTTACAGCATTAAACATTATAAAGACTGGAAGGCGACCATTAAAGCTGGACTCTTTCATTAAATAGGAGGAAGCTAAGCCATTAACACCACTTACTCCCCTTGAAATTGGCCGAAATAGGACTTCAGTGATGCCATGGTCCTTGTATCAGCTCTTTGTGCAGTGGTGAATTTCATCCTTGGTGCCAAGCCATTGAGGAGACTGGCATTTAAATTATGTGGTAATCTGGTGGCCTGCTAAGGGACACATGAAAGTGGAATAATATCCCCGATTTCAAAGACAGCTGGTCATGTAATGCCCATTGATTCCATGAGGAGTTATATACCTAAATATCATTGAACATCTGGGCCTATGTGTGTGATCTGGGCTAAGAGTATTGAGAGGAACAATGTTATTCCATGGTTAATGCCTAATGTCTTCATCTAGAAGCAGAAATGGTTACAAAGGCTCAGACCTAGTGGTAAATGAACTTCCTTAGGCCAGAAACAAGACTCCTAGGGTATGTCTAGACTACATGCCTCTGTCGGCAGAGGCATGTAAAATAGGCTACCTGACATAATCAATGAAGCCGGGATTTAAATATCCCCCGGCTTCCTTAAAATAAAAATGGCTGCCATGCTGTGCCGGCTCAGCTGATCGTTGGCACAGCGTGCAAGTCAAGACGCAGATCGGGCAAGAGGGGAAGCCTTTGTCGACTGCTCCCTTATGCCTCGTGAAACTATTCACTTAGCAGAAGTTGGCTAACTTAAATTGATGGCCCACTGTAGATGAAAATGAACATAGTATCCCTGAAGTCAACAAATAGTTTTCTATTAAGGGTATGTCTCCATTGCAGCTGGGAGGTGTGATTCCCAGCACAGGTAGACAGGCTTGTGTTATTTCTGCTCTCACTAACAGGCTAAAAATCATAGAATCATAGAATACTAGGACTGGAAGGGACCTCGAGAGGTCATCGAGTTCAGTCCCCTGCCCTCATGGCAGGACCCAGCACTTTCTAGACAATCCCTGATAGACATTTATCTAACCTACTCATAAATATTTCCAGAGATGGAGATTCCACAACCTCCTGACAGTTAGGAACTTTTTCCTAATGTCCAACTTAAACCTCCCTTGCTGCAGTTTAAGCCCATTGCTTCTTGTTCTATCCTCAGAGGCCAAGATGAACAAGTTTTCTCCCTCCTCCTTTTAGACATCTGAAAACTGCTATCATGTCCCCCCTCGATCTTCTCTTTTCTAAGCTAAACAAACCCAGTTCTTTCAGCCTTCCTTCATAGGTCATGTTCTCCAGACCTTTAATCATTCTTGTTGCTCTTCTCTGGACCCTTTCTAATTTCTCCAATAGAGAAATAGCTGAGTGGCTGCTGCGGCATGGGCAGAGCATCGGGATAGCCACCCAAGCTTTGACTGGCTTGGCTCAAAGAAAATCAAGCTTAAAGTTCTTAATTTAAAAAAGAAACATAAAGGGCAAAGGTCCTGTACCCTTATATCTCTTGAAGTACTATGGGCTGATTTTCATTACATTAAGGCCTGTTTGTACCACTAAAGGGTCTTCAAAATAACTTTAAATTACCCTCATGTGAAATGAAAAGGGACTGTACTGTAAATAAGAATAAGCCTTATGTAGGTTTTAAATCTGTGTATTCATCCATCCATATTCCCCAGTAATTTATATACTATGCTGAGACAAATGTAATAATTGGATCATCAAGGAGGCCTCTTCCAAGAATAATTACACTTTCTGCAATCTAAGTCGTTTGGAAATATATCCGATGAGACAACATGACTATCTTGGAATGTGCATAGATTTCCAACTTCACCTTAGCTCCAAAGAGTTAATGATAATTATACAGCCAGCAAAGAATAAGTGAAAGGAGGGATTCGCGTTAGTTCTTTTCTGTAATTACCTGATCCAGGAGGCTTTGGGCAACGTAATTATTTCAGAATGCTCATTTTCACCAATTTAGTTATGCAAATTAAATCAAAAGAAAAATGTGTACATAATATTACAGTACTGAATTTCAAACCATAAACAGCAGTGTATGGAGTGATAGCTTGTGATAATAACCAACAAAACTGTTTGATTACAGGAGTAGAAAAAAGGCAATCTAAACCTTTTTATCATTGTAATTATTAACAAAAAATGCAAAATTGGTGTTTTGTTCTCAAATGAGCCTTCCCATGTTACCCCAAAAAATTACCACTGGAGACCACCCAGGGTTACACTAACATGGGTTTATTACTTGAGGAATTAACACTTCAGTATTAGCACTACAAGGTTAAAGCAAAGAAGGTAGAGCTGTTTCTAAAAATATAATCTAAAGAAGCTACAAAGCTGACACCAAAGGTTTAAACTAAAGAGGCAACCAACTATCTCTCTCACATGCACACAAACAAATAAGCACACACACACACATGCACGCACCTCCATTCCTTCACTCTTTCACACACATTCATTCCTGCCCTCATGCACTCACACACTTACACAGGCATATGGATTGCAGAAGGAGCCAAGGCATGTAGATTCTGGAAGGTCTGTCTGCTGATCATTACTGGGAAGCTGGTCAGGAAAGACACTGGCTCTAGCGAGGAGTTTCTCAGGAGCAGGGGAAGAAAAAAAGAGAATCTCACATGTGCTCCCTCTCCTTATATTGTGTCTACATGGGCCCTGAGACTCATCCACCTTGTCACCAGGGAGCTTGCCCAGACTTCCCTTTATCCAGCAAAGCAGCAGTCTTTGATGACTCATCACCATGTGCTCCAGCCCTAGCATTACAGTTACAAACACACACTCACACTTTCTCTCTCTCTCCATCACTCAGGGGAGAATGCAGTTTAGAGCAAGTTACAAACAAAGTGGCTGAGAGTTACAAAGTTTACAAAGTTGCAGCTTACAGTACGTTTCTGAACTTATAAAGCAAAGTTGCCGAGCGTTACAAAGTTGCAAGGTTTCACAAAGGATTACAGTAAATTGCAAAGTTTGACAAAGATTACAATGAGTTGCATTTTAAAACCTTAGACCAGGGGTGCCCAAACTTTTTTCAAAGAGGGCCAGATTTGATGAAGTGAACAAGCGTGAGGGCCGACCATTTTGCCTGACATTCTTTGAACCATTAAAATTAAATGCAAATTAACTATTTTATGCAAAGTTTATTGCAAACGGCATACTTTTCATTTCATCACATGGATGACAAATCTAAACAGGTGTTAAATCACTCTGCCTTTCATATCTGAAGGCCAGATGAAAAAAAAAATCCAGGAAGCTGAAATATATGTCAGGAACATTGTAAAGTACATTACATATTATTGGTAATAAAGGTTGTCTGTCAACTTTTAAGTTCAAAAAATATGAACAGGAACATAACACCAAGTATACATGTTGTGTCCAAATATATTTATAACTGATTTAGACCAACTGACATTAACTGAGATTTTACAATGTATTCATCTCAATACATATGGATTCGTTGGGGGCCATAAAAGATAGATATTGCCAAATTACCTGTGGGGCTGTATTAAACCGGAACACGGGCCGCAATTGGCCCGCGGGCCGGACTTTGGACATGCCTGCCTTAGACCTTACAGCTAGTGTATTTTCAGAAAATTCATGTGTAAAATCAAATAATCTCAGGCGAAGGCTTTTTTTATGCAATGTCTCATAGCAAGAATGGGAGCAGGAGAAATGCATATAAACGTTGTAAGCACATAACCAATAGTCAGCTGGTTCCAGTTGGTAACATAATAATAGCTAGTTTTCAGATGGAGCTTTTTAATCAGCAGATCTCGAAACACTTTACAAAGAGGCTCAGTATTGTTTTACATTTGGGAAAAATGGAGTATGGAGAGATGCAGCGATTTGCCCAAGGGCAACCATTATACAAATGGTAGGGTAAGGACAAGAAACCAGGCCTCCTGAGTCCCAGGTAAATGTTCTATCCATTAGGCAACACTGCTTCCTCTTGAATTCTATCCACCAATAGGCATGAGCTGACAATTTTGGCTTATTAAGTTATAGGAGACTGCAGACTTGTTTTACATTGAAAAGTTTTGCCACTTTAACTAGACCAGTGTAATTACAGTGACCCCTCCACCAGCATGGACACAGTCATACCCGCATAAATGTGTGTAGACCAGTACAGCTTATTTCAGTCTGGAAACCCAAAAATGCTCTATCAATATAAGGCATCTTTAGGCTATGACACAATTTACACTACAGCTTTTATGGGCATAACTATTTGAGGGGAAAAAATCAGAATCCTGACATAATTATGTGGGTAAATTTGTAAATGTGGACCCAGCTTATAGGGAAATCTAGAAGGGACTGAACATTTTCCAATGGAACAACTTTGCTTTTGAAAATGCTGATTTGATCATTTCTAAACATTTCACAGGACTGCATCAGTTTAGTCCAGTTTTGTGGGAATTTATCAAAATGTTTCATTTATATAAGGTCAAAGCATTGTTCTCCAATGTTATCATTTGAACTTATGTTATTTGTGTGCACATATGTAATATGTGTGATTGTGTATTCATACATGCACATGTTATATTGATATATAATATGAAAGTCAAAATGATTATGTTATTGTATTATTTTATTTATTTGACACAAAATATTTTAATAAGGTTGAAACTAAGTAATTCCAGAACATTTATTTTCATTAACAATTCAAATTAATTATTGTCCCAGTGTGGGATGAACTCCAGTTGTAGGGATGAATCGCATCTTCTATAACCCTGTTGGTGAGCAACTAATAGCTGGCTTTGAATAGCTGTATTATGGCTATCTTCCTCCAGTTTGTGATTAGTTCAATTACATCTTAGGAAAAGGTCCCGTGATGGTTCTGCATGTTCTACATTAAAGCAATGAGGAGGATTAAAGGGCTTTACAGATCTTACTCTGGAGAATTTTTGCAGCAATTTGTTGTAAATCACTGCACTAAAAGCTGAGTATACAGCTGCGCCTCAGCCGAGACTTGGGTATTTTTGAACTGCAGGGTCCCTGATGCCTTTATGGGTATTAAAAAAAAATCCCTCCTCTCACTTAGATAATATCTCCCCAAAGCAGGCAATGTACAGGAGCACAGAATGAAAACAATGGCTTCCTAATAATGTGAGCTAAGCTACAAGCTTCCAAACATTAAAAATGGATTTTGTTTTTATCCCCTTGCCAGGGACAGCTTTTTAAGCTCTTCTGCATGGGTAAATCTATTTTTCAACTGCAGAATTGTGCTCACAGACAAAAATCCTGGCACCACATCATCACAAGGTTAATTAATATGCTCACCTAGAAGTACCATCGCTGACTGCAATCTGCAGTGCGCAGCAGAGGAAAGTCTTTGTCATTATCCAACTTGCATACAGTGACCACAGTATGATCACGTTTACATTTGCATGAGTAGTGCGTAATCATTTCCAGCAACGATCATACTAAGGGCCCAACTCCAACAAAGCACAAAACAAGGAAATTTTAGGAATGATTTAAAATGGTGCTTTTGTTTGGCATTTCCCCCTCTTTTGCTCGGTTCAACATCCATTAGATACTAACCAATTAGCCTGTCATAAGATGGGATTTTCAGGTCTCTCCTCCATGTCAGTCTTCTCTCCTGAGCCTCCGGTCTCTCGCTCCATCTCTCTCTCTCTCCTCCTCCTACTGCCTGCCCCCTCTCTCTCAGCTCTCCTCTGCCTCCTGCCTCTCTCTCTGTCTCTCTCTTTCTCTTCTCCTCCCCTCCTGCCTCTCACTCGGGGGACCGTGGAGCCCAAATGGCCTTTTGGGCGCCACGCTCCTCGTGCTGCATGGGGAAAGTGGAGCCCAAACGGTCACTTGTGCCACTTGCTCCCATGCGGCGGCCTGGCTGAGTGGCACAGAAGTCAGCCAAGCGCCATGGTGGGAGGTGAAGGAGTGGTGGCGGGGTGGTGACATACATGGCCAGGGGGCAGGGCCTGGAGCCACTGTCATGCCACACATCACCGCCCCACCCTCCTTCCCCTCCCGCCATGGTGCTCGTCTGACTTCTGCGCTGCTCAACCGGGCTGCCACGGGGGAGCAAGCGGCCATTTGGGCCCCGCACTCCCCATGCAACACTGGCCACCCAGAGGGAACAGACAGCATTTCAGGCAACAGCGCCGCCCAGAGGGAACAGCCAGCATTTCAGGCAACAGTGCCGCCCAGAGGGAACAGCCAGCATTTCGGCATTACAGACTGACACTGGGCTACTATATATATGATTTTACAACAAAATGTTAAATTAAAGGGGAAACCACACAAAAGAGCCTGAAGCGCAGTTCTGTGGGAAGCCCATGGCATCTCAGCCAAGACTGAGAATAGTCCTGATGAAAGGGTTATATATACAGTTAATTGATTAGGTATTGAACATTTCTTTAGCTATTGGAGCGATCCTTGTTTATTGAGCACATGCTGAATTTAAACATGGACGTAACCATGTGGGGTGTACAACTGTATCACCCCAAGAGATGCTGTGCTTGAGAGAAATGCCCCCATACACTCTGAGGCCTTCATCTTCAAAAGTATTTGATGCTGCTTTGCTCAGTGTTGCGACTGAGGATTCCAGTAGTGGAATCCTCAACTCTGAGATGGGTGCTCAGGTTTCCCATGGGATACATGGGGAGGGCTAGGTACCTAAGAAAGGGATCTTCAGAAGCCAGCAAGCTGACCTCGGCAGAAGAGAAGTGCTGAAAAGTAGGGATGTAGGCATCTAAGCAACTGACCTGTCTGCCAGGTGTTCCTCATAAACCTTCTCTCCCCTGAAAATTCTCAGTCACAAACCCTCTCCCGGAGTTACCACTACAGACCCTCTCCTGGAGTTAGCCCTGTGCCCTCAGCCAAGGCTCCACCATTTTCCCAACCTTTCCCTGACTCCTGGAAGGTGGGAATGGTCCCATTGTCTGCCTACTCCTGCCTATTTAGTTTAATGTGTCCTGTGTAAAGGGTTCTTACTCCCTGGTCCCATCCCAGCTCTACATGTGTGACCTTTATTTAATTAGTCCGATGCTGCCACTGCAATGCCTGTGCACCATAGAACAGAGCAGAAGTGCATGACAGAAAGCAGGAGGGGGCTACGCCGTGGAAGCCGACGCTTTCTGTCAGAGAATACATGGGGCTCTGGAGGAGGCTCTGAATGTTTCGCCTCTGACAATGTGCAGTTCCGTTTTAAAAACACAGAACTACTGCACGAGGAGTTTCTCAATAGATCTGCCAGCAGCCTGTCAGAGGGGGTTTACTTCAGATAGGCTGCCAAGAGAAGATGTGATGGGCTAATGAAGTGGTGGAATCGAGTATCCAGTTTGAAGTGCACTGATCAGTGGTGTAGTTCAGAAGGGTGATTTATCCCTAGATACAGAAGCTGGAGGCAAAGGTAAATTTTATGAGATGGTCTTTATGATTTGTTAACGTGCTTCATTAGCTTCTATTGTATCTACCTGAAAATGCCTCCGCAGCTGTTTTTAAATAAAAGGGTTTTTTTTTATCCATCTGGTCTGTCCCATGCATTTGTTCATCTAGGCTACGTCTACACTGGCATGATTTTCCAAAAATGCTTTTAACGGAAAAGTTTTCCATTAAAAGCATTTTTGGAAAAACACGTTTAGATTGGCAGGATGCTTTTCCGCAAAAGCACTTTTTGTGGAAAAGCGTCCGTGGCCAATCTAGACGCGGTTTTCCGCAAAAAAGCCCCAATCGCCATTTTCGCGATCGGGGCTTTTTTGCGGAAAACAGTACTGTGCTGTCTACACTGGCCCTTTTGCGCAAAAGTCTTTCGGAAAAAGACTTTTACCCGAACGGGAGCAGCATAGTATTTCCGGAAAAGCACTGACGATCTTACATGAGATCGTCGGTGCTTTTCCGGAAATTCAAGCGGCCAGTGTAGACAGCTGGCAAGTTTTTCCGCAAAAGCAGATGATTGTGTGGAAAAACTTGCCAGTATAGACACAGCCCTAGAGTAATGCCTAGATCTTAGGTATCCCTCATAAATCATGGATGCAAGATGAGGGAGACTATGGAATAGACAGGGATTAGTTTTCCTCCAGGTGAGAGAAATTCCTCTTCACCTCCCTAAGGAAAAATTTAGGGTAAATATTAGCAGAAACTTTGGCTACTTAAACAATGGGACTAGTGTTAGGGTGTCAAATGCATAGATTGGTGGCAGCCACTAGGTTGCTTAACAAATTTGTGTCCCACACGATGTTCAGGTTCTTCAAAATCAAAAGCATTTTAATGAGGGCTGACGGACAAGGGGGTTGTCAGTGAACTTTTAATAGATAGCACCCGTATCGTGGAAAACCTTGATATTCAATAGAACAACTGAACGCCCCAAACCAAATCTTGATTTAAAAATGGTTGATTTCATGGGAGATGTAGCCCAGGTGCCCAAGGCTTCTATTCTGGGAGCCAGGCTAGCTGGACAACCTATCCCATAATGCCCTATGGAGAAGGACTCCTGTGATGCCCCCTCATTACCAGAGGATAAGGGATGCATCATAGGACAGGAGATGTAGAAAGAATGAGTTCCAAAAACACTCACATTGAAGTTCCGAATGAGACATGACAAGGGTATTTCTGCTCTTTTCTTCTGGAGTTTGACCAACATATATTCTGGTTTTGGGATTTTTCCCCCAAAAGCTGGAACTTTCCACAAGGAAGAAGAGAGACACCTAAAAATAAAATTCTCTGCTTCTCAGTAGAATGAATTTGACTCCTTTCATTATTAGTTTTCTGAGGCTAATCTACTTCTTCATAACTTGACTTGTCAATCTGTGCTACCAGAGTAGAGTGAAGAAACTGAACATAAGAATGGTTATACTGGGTCAGACCAAAAGTCCATCTAGCCCAGTATCCTGTCTGCCGACAGTGGCCAATACCAGATGCCCCAGAGGGAGGGATCACAACAGAAAATCATCACATGATCCTTTCCTGTCATCCATTTCCAGACAAACAGAAGCTAGGGACACCATTCCTACCCAACCTAGTTAATAGTCATTGATGGACCTAACCTCTATGAATGTATTTAGCTCTTTTTTTTAATTCTGTTAAAGTCCTAGTCTTCACAACATCCTCTGGAAAGGAGTTCCACAGATTGACTGTGCAGTGAGTGAAGAAAAACTTCCCTTTATTTGTTTTAAACCTGCTGCCTATTAATTTTATTTAGTGAACCCCTTGTTCTTATATTGTGGGAATAAGTAAATAATTTTTCATTATTCACTTTTTCCACACCAGTCATGATTTTACAGACCTCTATCCTATCCCCCCTTAGTCTCCTCTTTTCTAAGCTGAAAAGTCCACGTCTTTTTAATCTCTCTTCATATAGGACCCATTCCGAATCCTAATCATTTTGTTGCCCTTTTCTGAACCTTTTCCAATGCCAATATATCTTTTTTGAGATGAAGCAATCACATTTGTATGCAGTTTTCAAGATGTGGGTGTACCATGGTTTTATATAGAGGCAATAAGATATAAAAACATGGTACACCCACATCTTGAATAATGCATACAGATGCTAAACCTTCAGTGTTGATTTTCCTAAACTTTGCTTCTCTCCCAGATCAAATAAGTTAAGCATGGTATAGATAAGAATAACTGTAATGGAGAGGCAACTGTAATAGAGAGGCCAGAGCAGTGGGAAGCTCAAAGGGAATGAGGCCAGTGGTGCTGCTCAACAAGAGCTATCCTTTTGACCTTCCTCCAACCCTTCACTCAAAATGTTAGGTGATCTCTTGAAAAGAGGGACCTGCCCTAACTTGTGCTCACCTCATTTTTCACACCTGATGGAGTCTCATACTCTGGCTATGTTCTGTACCGCCATCTGGCAGCTGCAGTCCGTATGTCTGATCCTCATGTCCCTCATCTATGGCCTTCCTGCTGTCATTCAAGACAAAATTCAGAAAGCATGACACAGCATGGAAGTGCGTCCAATTTGCTTCCCCTCTGGGGCTTCCTTCCAGGACTTGTCACAGGAAGTTCTAAACTAGAGTCCAGAGAAGGTGAACAATGTTAAGAAGTCTCTGGAGGAGCTACTAGAGTACGAAATGCAGAATACTACCCCTGATATGACTTAGGGGAATCTCTTCATCCTTTATACCTTCCAAAAGACCAGCAGAGGATGAGGGACATAATAGTATTGCAAACATCTGAGCCTAATCATGATACCAGAGGTCCTCAAAAACTAGTTTCTCCAAAGCTTTTCTCTTTTCCCCTTGTAACTTTCCCTCTTTTTACATGGAGAGCTGAGCCTATATTTGACTTGCTCCAGCTGGTGCAACGAAGCAAAATCTGTCACTTTCACTTTATAGGAATCAAGATGCTTCCCTTTTGAGGAGCTTTGTACCCGAGAATTCTTTGACTACAGATGCAGTGCAGCGTATAAGTTATATGGGAGCATCACCTGTGTAAATATCTGCTCTGATTTGCAGACCTCATTTTTTTTCTGAGGCTGTGGAGCTGGGTTTCACTGATAGAATATAAATGATTCTTACCTAAATCTGATTAGAGGCTCTCCACAGGTGTTTTGTCTCATCCTTGCTAGAGACAGACACTTCAAAGAACATACTGGATTGTCAGAACACTCTGTGCTCGGCTCCTTTTCAGGGATCTGCTTAACTTGTAGTAGTTTGGAGGAAAGATTTCAGTCCAGAACCAAACATAACACACACCTTTATCTCAATCTTATCTCATTATAAACTATCAGACATTGTTCCTGTCTCCATTGGGGGTGATGACTTCTGGGTGACACTGGGGGTGGAACTGAGGCCCAGAGGAGAATCCTACACTAAGTGAAGTCAGACCAGCGTTTCTTTCTGTGTATGTCTAGACTGCATCCATCTGTCGGCAGAGGGATGCAGAATAGGCAGGTCTACATTGCATAAAAATTTGCATAAAAATGGCCACTGCTTTTGCCGACTCAGCACTTTGTCGGTTAAAAAGCAGCAGTCTAGAGGGGGATCTGTCGAGAAAAAAAGCCTTTTTTGACAGATCCCTTATGCCTCCTGCAAGGAGGATTACAGGATCTGTCAGAAAAGGCTTTCTTTCTCGACAGATCCCCCTCTAGACTGCTGCTTTTTAACCGACAAAGTGCTGAGTCGGCAAAAGCAGTGGCCATTTTTATGCAAATTTTTATGCAATGTAGACCTGCCTATTCTGCATCCCTCTGCCGACAGATGGATGCAGTCTAGACATACACAGAAAGAAACGCTGGTCTGACTTCACTTAGTGTAGGATTCTCCTCTGGGCATTTATAAGTGCCTGCCTTTACCACTATCTAGTGTGCAATCGCTAGGCATAATGTGAGATCCAATCTTATAGAAACAGCAAATTAAGTGTACCATTGTGTTTAAATGGTAGTTTTCATGTACAGTTACCCAATAGGCCCTGATGTCTTGTATTTTCTAACTGATGTTTCTTTGCAATAAACTCTAGTGGCATTTGTACCATGAGTGCTGGTTCTAAAATTCATTGCAAAGACAAATCTGTAATAATCCAGTTTTGTTCCCTGTCACTGTAAGGACCCATAGAGAAGAGATACAATGGATGGCAGGCTTCTCACATACACAATATTTTTTTAAATCTCTGGCTTTACATCCTCTCCTAGTGCACATCTACGCAGCAAGCCCGTTATTTTGAAATAATTTTGAAATAACGGGATTCTTATTCCAACTTTTATAACCCTCATTTCACGAGGAGGAAGCAAAGTGAAAGATTGAGTTGTACTTCCTTCAACTTCCTTCAGTGGAGACAGCACTTACAGCCGAGTTAAGCTACTTCAACTTCAGCTACGCAATTAATGTAGCTGAAGTTGTGTATCTTAATTCGACTTTAGCCCGCAGTGTAGACATACCCCTAGAGTACAGACTTACTCATTTTCCTATGAGTGGGAAAAAATTAAATCCCTTTTTAATCTAGTGCCTCATAGCTCATCCCTGAGTATTGCAGCTGTCAAGATTAGCTCCTTCTGGTGCTACACTCCCTGGCTGTGTCCAGACTCAGGGGTTTTTTCGAAAAAAGTAGCCTTTTTTCGAAAAAAACCTCACCTGCGTCTAGACTGCAGCCGCGTTCTTTTGAAATTAAATTGAAAGAACGCTGCTTTTCTTTCGATGGCGGTAAACCTCATTTCACGAGGAAGAACGCCTTCTTTCGAAAGTTCCTCTTTCGAAAGAAGGCGTTCTTCAATGTAAATAGGGCTTCTTCGAAAGAGAGCATCCAGACTCACTGGATGCTTTCTTTCGAAAAAGCAAGCCGCTTTTTCGAAAGTTCAACGTGCAGTCTAGACGCTCTCTTTCGAAAGAGGCTCTTTCAAAAGTATCTTTCGAAAGAGGCTTGCAGTCTAGACATAGCCCCTGAAAAAACTAACTTGGGGTAGATTTTCAGTTCAATAGCTATGAGCTTTTTCATTACTCCTGCCTGCAATGTGACTTGAGTTGCATTAGCCAGCATTCCGGCGAGTGAGGGTTCCCTATACACCCCTTGAAATTTGTTAAAATGTTGTCGGCCATCAGGTTATAGCTAAAACAAAGATAAAAGCATAACTCTTTTTTCAACTGCAGCTATAGTCTCCTTACTATTTTAAATGGAACAAACATGTTAATTTGCTGAAAAGAAAAGAGGGGCTATAACAACTTGCTTGCACTTACTAATTGCATGATTTAAGCAGCATTGGGGCGTCTTTCCATGAGTCTTACAAAACGTTTCACATCTGTTACTAAAGGATTAAGTTCCTTTCCCATCCCTGCCCCCCCAAAAACCCTTAGGAAGTGGTTGGTGGGAGGGATTGTTGCAGATGCTGCTGACCGCAGGTGTATTTGGGTAACCTAAGTTAAAATTTGATTTTTTTGGAGGGGGGAAAGGATTCATATGAGACTTCTTCCCTAGCCATAGCTGAGGTTTTATAGTTCCTTTCTGCAGCAGTGTCCAGGTTAGAGGGAACATTCCTCTCCAGGGGTCTCCATTAGTCCAGTGGGATGTTACTGTTCGAGCTGATAAAAAAATACCATTTAACCAATGCGGGGGAGGGGAAGATCTGTGAAACTGGATCTATATTTCAATATTCATGAAAATTCCTGTTCAAACACCTTACTTAAAACCTAACAAACATTGTTTACAAATCATTTTACCTTCAAACCGTCCCCCATTTTTCATATGGCCTTTATTGTTATGTTTCATGACATGGCAGTAGAGGCAGCATGTTCCTGATGTGTCTTGACAGGACATACAGGTCCTATTAAACAGTACTACTGACATAATATGAAATAATATAATATACACATTTAAAAAAATCCTCTCTCTTTTTCCTTCTTAGTTCCCCTTTCCTCTCTCCCTTTCCCAAAATGAACCCCTAATACTGTGATTTTGAATGTTAAGCAACAAGGTCCTAGCCATACCATCATTGTGAGCTGGCGTGCAGTTGTGACATCATCAAAAAGAGCCAATCATATTGTTGTTGGTCTGGAGCAAAACAGGAGACATGGATCCTTAAGCCTACAATAAGAGATCAATAGAGAGATGATGACATGAGAGGGAAAAAAGAGACATACTTTATGAAGGGAACAAATCAGAGTGGAGTAAAAAAGAGAAATACTACAAGAAAAGGAAATACCATTTACAAATTACCTCTAGGTAAAACATTTATAAAACCTTTACACTTGGTTAAGTCCCTTTATTAAACAGATGTTGATAGTGACTCCATAGTTAAAGATGACTTTGTGCTTAAATCAAGGATTCATCTTCTTTTTATCATATAAGAAAAGTATAAAATGGCCTACCCAGAATAACTCTTCGAATACAGAATCTGTTTTTGGAGAAGTTATAAATAATATGGATAGGCTTGAGCCTTCACTTTATCTGGTAGCATTATGTAATATATTTTTATTAATTATTATTATAATATTGTATTATTATATTATTAATACTAATTGTTATCAAAGAGTAATGTCTGAGACCAATACTCTTAAAGAGTACTGGTCTCAGGCATTACTCTTTAATAGGACTCTTTAATAGTACCATGTGTGAATCAATTCTTAAGGCAAGTCTGTGCTGTGGTCACAAGTAAGACTTCTGACTAGCAGGAGAAATTGGTTGCAGACAGGAAGGTGGAAGTCAAATTAGGTCAAAGTGATCATGAAATGATAGATTTCATTTTTCTAAAGGAAGGAATTTGGGTGGCAGAAAAAGGACAATACAAACTTAAAATTCACAGAACTGGGAGGAAAAGTCTCATGGTAAGACCATTTAAGGGAAAAAGGAGTACAGGAGACCTGGAAGTATCTCAGGGTATGTTTACACTACCCTCCTAGTTCGAACTAGCGGGGTAATGTATACATACCGCACTTGCTAATGAAGCCCGGGATTTGAATTTCCCGGGCTTCATTAGCATAAGCGGGGAGCCGCCATTTTTAAATCCCCGCTGCTTCGAACCCCGTGTAGCGCGGCTACACGGGGCTCGAACTAGGTAGTTCGGACTAGGGTCCTATTCCCCGCTTATGCTAATGAAGCCCGGGAAATTCAAATCCCGGGCTTCATTAGCAATGGGGGTATGTCTACACTACCCCGCTAGTTCGAACTAGCGGGGTAGTGTAGACATACCCTCTGAGAGACAATATTAAAGGTAGGAAAGAGAGGAAGAATACTAAGGCTATGTCTAGACTACATCCCTCTTTCAAAAGAGGGATGTAAATTAGACATATAGAAATTGCAAATGAAGCCGGGATTTGAATTTCCCATGCTTCATTTGCATAATCGTGTCATGGCATTCTTTCAAAAAATGCTCTTTTGAAAGTGAAACCGTGGTCTAGACGTGGTTTTTTTTTTTCTAAAAGAAAAGCCTTTTTGAGGAGTACAGGATCTTTTGAAAAAGGTTTTTCTTTTTGAAAGAACTGCATCTAAGCTGTGGCTTCACTTTCGAAATAGCGTTTTTCGAAAGAACACCGTGATGCAATTATGCAAATGAAGCACGGGAAATTCAAATCCTGGCTTCATTTGCAATTTCGTATGTCTAATTTGCATTCCTCTTTCGAAAGAGGGATGTAGTTTAGATGTACCCTAAGAGGCCAATATGGAATCCTACACACAGTGGAAATATGGATGAATTGCTAAGGATAAATACAAGAGAATAGCATGAGCCTGTAGGTATTAAATCAGAAAAGTTAAGACACAAAGTGAGTTATACCTATCAAGAGACATAAAAAGTAATCAGAACAGGTTCTATAAATCTATTAAGAACAAGAGAAAGATGAAGGAAAATATAGGAACTCCCATGAACAGGAAGGAGAATGAATATTGGACAACAAGAAGGCAGAAGTGTTGAATGCCTGTTTTGCTTCTTTAAAAAAAGGGTGGTTCTATAGCACCTGAGAAACTAACAAACATATATATAAAAAATATAGTATCATGAGCTTTTCTGGGCACAACCCATTTCTTCACAGGAGATGCTTCTGTCATCTTTAAAAAGGATTACCAGGTACTTAACACAATTAATATTAACAGCAAGGAAGAGGGAGGAAAAGCCAGAATAGGGAAGAATAAGTTAAAGACAATTTTGATAAATTAGATTTCGTTAAGCAAGTAGAGCCGGATGAGGATATCTATGGTGTCTTGTCTGTGTCATACTTAGAGACCAGGTGCAATGATTGTACCAATTCATCCCATTTCTTTGGCCAAGAACAGTTGAGGCAAACATGTGCTATACGCTCATCCTACTGATTGGCCTCTTTTTTTCCCTCTCTTTCAGTAGATCATGGCATCCTCAAATGAAGCATTTAAATCTGATGGCAGCTTTTCATCCATAGCTGGGACAAGCAGTGGGGATGTTCCAGCAGCAGCGGAAGGCTCATCAGACTCAAGATGCCCTATTTGCTTGGAGAGAATCCAAAATGTGTCTTACTTAAATCCCTGCTTCCACGGGTTCTGTTTTGCTTGCATACAGGAATGGTCAGAACGGAAAGCTGAGTGCCCTCTCTGCAAACAATATTTCCATTCCTTCTTCCACACCATCAGGGCTGACAATGACTTTGAGGAGTACATTCTGCCTGTGGAGAACATATCCTCTGCCATGTTTGAGGTAAGGTCAACCTCTGCTCAAAGGCCGGAATCTCCACCTGACCATGGGATCCTGCGTGAGGGCTTTTCAGGTCCACGATCTCAAGCAAGGGAGTGGGCCATTGAAGAGCTGATGAGACAGTTTGCTATCCGAAGGCCATCTCAGCCAGGGGGAATATCCTTGGGGCAAGTACGGGAGCAGGTCACAATTAAGTTCAGGAGAGCCCTATATCGATCTGGGGTATGGGTAAGGAATGTCCAAGCCGGAGGTTTCTATCGGGATATTTCGGCGGATTTTTTCCACCGCAACCCTTCTCGCCTCCACAGATTGGTTCCATGGCTCAAGCGTGAACTAAGAGTACTGTGTGGCACCCGTGTGTCTTTGGTCAATGACATACAGCATATCATCCTGCACAACATGACTCATTATGATCTGGAGAGCCAGGCCTTTGCCGATCTCTTGCAACCTCACTTGCTATATTACACGAATCACTTCCTCCATGAATTTATCAATTTTGCCCGCTCGCCATTCAACATTAAGGCATATGACTGGCGAGCCAATTACGATATCCCCTTTTCTCTGCATGAAGAGGGATACCAGTTTTATTCTTCACTGACTATGTCTTCTGAGGAGGAAGAAGACTCCCAAGATTATGATGATGAGGATGACGATGGAGAATCCATAGGCAGTAATGATGAGGAATCCTGGGATGATGAAATCCCAGGCTCAGCGTGTTCCAGTTTAGAACAGGCAGTTGATGACTTGATTTCCACTCTTGGTTCCTCTGATGGTGAATTTGTCAGGAGAGACAATTTACAGAGGTTGTTTCAGACCCATGCATGCTCTGTCGAGAACACTAATCACTCTTCTTCAGACAACTGCTTCATTAATTCACTAGCTGAGAGGATGGTAGACACTTTTGAGCCATTTGCCGTGACTGTGGAGACTAACCAAGATGGGGGAAAAGAGGAGAAGAAACTGCAGCCTGTAAGGGACCCTCACTCTAGCAATAGTCATGGATGTTTAGCCATTTCCAGGGATGGCCAGTTTGATAGTCAAAGACACGACTCACCGCCCTTACCCCAGCAGATTCCTGAAAGAGAAGTCATCTGTATCACAGACTACGTTCAGTCAGAAGTAGAAGCAATGGGTAACAGCGAGCAGATTCAAGCCAAATCCAAAGAGTTAGTTACACTTGAGTTGATTCAGTCCAAAACAGCAGAGGCAGTTAAGAGTGAGTCGCTTCTGTCCCAAGGAGAAGCAATTGTTAACAACAAGGAATCACCCTCTTCCACAGATAATTTGCCAAGCAGCACCTCTAAAAAACGGGACAGTAGGTGCTTTCCATGTATCAGAAGATCATAAACCACAGCAAAAAAGCTAAGAGGAAACTCATTATGTTCTTCTCTGGTTGAGATGATGCTCACTCTAACGAAACTGATAAATGGGTATATTTGAAAAGTGTGTGTTTAAAATAGTAGAATGGGAATCTAGGGACAAGCTGGAGAAGACATTCCTGATGATCACCCCTTTCATTTCATAACTAAGATGCATTTGTTATAGTCTGTGGTTTCCTATTGGCTTTATTTGGGCTTAATAATTACTATATTGGAAGGGAAGAAAGGGGAGTGAAAGGTTCATTTTCTGGTTGTGGCTTCTTGCCATAGAACTATATTGGCTTCTTTCTTTCTTTCTTTCTTTCTTTCTTTCTTTCTTTCTTTCTTTCTTTCTTTCTTTCTTTCTTTCTTTCTTTCTTTCTTTCTTTCTTTCTTTCTTTCTTTCTTTCTTTCTTTCTTTCTTTCTTTCTTTCTTTCTTTCTTTCTTTCTTTCTTTCTTTCTTTCTTTCTTTCTTTCTTTCTTTCTTTCTTTCTTTCTTTCTTTCTTTCTTTCTTTCTTTCTTTCTTTCTTTCTTTCTTTCTTTCTTTCTTTCTTTCTTTCTTTCTTTCTTTCTTTCTTTCTTTCTTTCTTTCTTTCTTTCTTTCTTTCTTTCTTTCTTTCTTTCTTTCTTTCTTTCTTTCTTTCTTTCTTTCTCAGCAGTAGTGTAGACGCTGGTATAGTTTTGTCAACAAAAGTCCACTTTTGTCGACAAAACTAGGTAGTCTAGACACACCCTTTCTTTCTTTCTTTCTTTCTTTCTTTCTTTCTTTCTTTCTTTCTTTCTTTCTTTCTTTCTTTCTTTCTTTTTGTTGAGCAACATGCTTGCTGTTTGTGCTTCCTACAGCGCGTGAAGGTAGAACAGAAAATCCCAGGAGATGTTTCTTTTTCACATCACAAAATGCCTTTCCTTGATAGTGTTGCCTAATTTTGAGTGTGCCTTCTCATTACTTGACACTGTAGCAGTTAGCATGGTAGTCAGGTTATTAGGCCTTTACCTTTTTTTGTTTTTTTTGTATTATAGGAGGATCATTTTTTAAGAAAAAAAGTCATTTTAGAACAAAAGAAAAATCAAAATCTCTGTGAAAATGTTGAAATGGGATGTTTTGACAGGTGTCAGAACTTTTTTCCCTTCCAACCGACCCCAAAATCAAATTCCCAGAAAATCAACTTGATTGTGCGATGTTTTGATTTTTGACAGAATTGCATACTCTAACAATCATAGAATTCCAGAACTGGAAGGGCCCTCAAGAGGTCGCCAAATCCAATACCCTGGTCTCACGGCAGGATGCAGCACCATCTAGATCATCCCTGATAGATGTGTATCTAACCTCCTCTTAAATATGTCCAATATTTAACTATATAGCTCCATAAAAATGTTTTCTGACCGCATGTAATTATTATCCCCATTTTGTAGGTGGGGAACTAATGCGCAGAGAAACTCACTGACTTGCTCAAGTCACAGAGCAAGTTTTAGCAATGCAGAGAATTAAACCTGGGTTTTCCACTGCTGGGGCAACCTTAACCACTGGAGCATCAAATAATATCAAGAAATATTGTACCTCACACAACAGTATGAATAACAAACATCCAATGCTACCACCAGTTACAAATGCACAACTTGAGGTTCCATTCTCCAGGTGATGAGGCTAGAGATATTGCTTTTTTCTTTAGCACCAATATGATGTGGACAATGAAGAGATCCAAGCATTCATGCTATTCATGTAGGCCTGATATGGCAAACGACTAAGTGAATTTGGGGTCTTCCCTGAAAGCAACTATGTTCTGAAAGGATTTTAGTTATTTTATATACATTTTTACTTGGTTTTCTGACAGCTATGTTGCTGTTTGTGGACTGCAGCCAAAACCACTCCTGTCATCTCGCTTTCCACCAACAGACATTCCCACTAGATGTGACTCCATATGTTATCCACAGCTCTGGTTACCTTAGGAGTAGCCATGAGGTAAAGGCATTGTTCAGTCTTTGTCTCTGGAACAGAGCAGTCTCATGTGATTGGAAGTGGGACTTCCCAAAGTGCCTATAACCAAACGCACACATTTTAGATTTCTAACATTCATTGAAATCACTGACACACACAAGGTGGTTGAGGCATAATCTTTCTTGGACCAGCCTCAAGCTTTTGAACTCCCACAAGCTCCTCTTCAGGTCTGGGGAAGGTAACATGAATTTTTAAGCCAAATACAACTACATAAAAAACACCAATCAAGCAACCATCCCAGACACGCCAAGAAATGCCAGGCACTCAAGTCCCACAGAATTTGCTCCAAAGAGAAAGTCCAGAATACACACTTAAAACTGCCTCTACCACAGAAGTATATTGCATCATGGAACAGACCACCCAAATAACCTGAGAGAACCTTCTTCAATATGGCGGGGTGGAGAGGAATCCACTTCACACTACTAATTGTCACCTATCAAACTATTACGACTCATGTTTAGTGGGGGTCACATCCTAAAAAAACCAAATCTTTCCCAAACCACCTCTTCTGAGGACTCCCCAAGCTTCACCAAGATCATCATGAGATCACACTTCCCACCAACCAGTACACACCAAGCAGCACCAGACCCTACCCGAAAAACGGATGAAAAATCTACACCCATATTTCCATTGCTATGAAATACCGCAATACATCTTTCAAGATCCATTGATCCCACATGGGCTTATCTCAACATGTAGTGTCCCTCGTTTCCGTTCATCAGCTCTTCCAACAGCAACTGTATGGGTGAAACCAGACAAATATTGTGCTCTGAAATGAACTCACACCGGAAAAGGATAAAGAGCCGAAACACCCCTTCACCTGTGAGTGAATACTTTCCACAAACTCATGTCTTTATTGACCTCTCAGTTCTTGTCCCGAAAGGAAACATGCACAAGACCTTCAAAAGATTCATGTGGGAAATTAAATTCATAAATCTCCTAGATATTGGATTTCACAGATGCTCTGGTGTCATGGCTCCTTACAACAGTTTTTAACACACCTTATTACCTGCTTACTTTTACTTACATACTTCAGTTTTAAGTGGTCTCCTACAGCACGTGTGAACCTCTTTTACGTAACAGTATGTCCCAGTTGAATTTGGCTTACAAACTGTGGTGACCATCCCCAGTCCTGAAGGATTGCTCTGTGAAGGTAAATAGCTCGGCCCTTCCACCAACAGAAGCTGGCCCGTGGCAAGGTGATAGGGAACAGCCAGCATGGATTTGTAAAGAACAAATCATGTCAAACCAATCTGATAGCTTTCTTTGATAGGATAACGAGACTTGTGGACAAGGGAGAAGTGGTGGATGTGGTATACCTAGATGTTAGTAAGGCGTTTGATAAGGTCTCACATGATATTCTTATCAATAAACTAGGCAAATACAACTTAGATGGGGCTACTATAAGGTGGGTGCATAACTGGCTGGATAATTGTACTCAGAGAGTAGTTATTAATGGTTCTCAATCCTGCTGGAAATGTATAACAAATGGTGTTCCAGAAGGGTCTGTTTTGGGACCGGCTCTGTTCGATATTTTCATAAACGATTTAGATATTGGCATAGAAAGTACGCTTACTAAGTTTGTAGATGATATGAATCTGGGAGGGGTTGCGACTGCTCCGGAGGATAGGGTCATAATTCAAAATGATCTGGACAAATTGGAGAAATGGTCTGAGGTAAACAGGATGAAGTTTAATAAAGACAAATTCAAAGTGCTCCACTTAGGAAGGAACAATTAGTTTCACTCACACACAATGGGAAGCAACTGTCTAGGAAGGAGTACAGCAGAAGGGAATCTAGGGGTTATAGTGGACCAAAGCTGAATATGAGTCAGCAGTGTGATGCTGTTGCAAAAAAAGCAAACATGATTCTGGGATGCATTAACGTGTGTTGTGAGCAAGACATGAGAAGTCATTCTTCCGCTCTACTCTGCGCTGGTTAGGTCTCAGTTGGAGTATTGTGTCCAGTTCTGGGCACCGCATTTCAAGAAAGATGTGGAGAAATTGAAGAGGGTCCAGAGAAGAGCAACAAGAATGATTAAAGGTCTAGAGAACATGACCTATGAAGGAAGGCTGAAAGAATTGGGTTTGTTTAGTTTAGAAAAGAGAAGACTGGGGGAGGGGGAGGAGAATTTTAGAAAAGAGAAGACTGGGGGAGGGGGGGGGGAGAATGACATGATCGCAGTTTTCAGGTATCTAAGAGGGTGTCATAAGGAGGAGGAAGAAAACTTGTTCATCTTGGCCTCTGAGGATAGAACAAGACGCAATGGGCTTAAACTGCAGCAAGGGAGGTTTAGGTTGGACATTAGGAAAAAGTTCCTAACTGTCAGGGTAGTAAAACACTGGAATAAATTGCCCAGAGAGGTTGTGGAATCTCCATCTCTGGAGATATTTAAGAGCAGGTTAGATAAATGTCTATCAGGGATGGTCTAGACAGTATTTGGTCCTGCCATGAGGGCAGGGGACTGGACTCAATGACCTCTCGAGGTCCCTTCCAGTCCTAGTATTCTATGATTCTATGAAACTGTATTCCCTCATTCCCTTTTGTCTCTTATATCTGGGGATGAACACAGCTATACCAACGCTGCAAATATCGAAAGCAGTGAACGCTGAGACTGCCAACTGCCTTTGTGGATTAGTGCTTAAGTGATTTAGGAGCACAAATTCCACTGAGTTTCAATTATGTCCTTTTTTCAGTCCTCCTGCCCTTCACTACATACAGTTTTAAATACAAGTAGCTTCAGGGAAATGAAAAGAAAAGGGAGGCATCTCCTCACAATTTATGCTGAAGAGGTCTAAAAATCTAAATTAGAATACTTTTCCCATCCCAAATTGCCCCATTTCCCTCCATTGTGGGGTTACTAGTCTCACAAGCCATGTTTCTTAAAGTACTTGCTTTCCTTCAAAGTACTTGCCCAGAAGTGATCTGACTGTTTATTTCTCTTTTTCTCATGAGCACCCACATTCTCAATTTCCCCTCCACTGTTGCTTGGGTTACCTTTCCATTTGATGGCTACTAAGCTAAACAGCACAAATTCCCCATGGACCGATTTTCTTTCTCTCCATCTGCAAAAAGAATCACAAACTGCAAAAATCTGATTTCAGATAGAGCTGGGACCAGCTTCTTTCAAGAAATACAATATATTTTACAGGGTTGAGTCAGAAATTACCCAAGAATAGATGTGTGTGCAG